CTCCTCCTCCTCCTCCTCCACCCGCAGATCGCCGAACAAACCACCCGGTTCTTGGTCATCATGCTCACCATCGGAGTCGAACGTGTGCATTATGTTCTGCAAACTCGATGCTGCGGCAGCAGCCCCGGCCATTATGGACTCCTCATCCATGTTGGGCGTGGCCTTCTCGTCGGCGCGGCCTTCTCGTGAGTGTGTGTGTAGATGTGTTCGTGTGTTCTTGTGTTGTTGGGGGTGTGTGTGTGCGTTGGCGGCGAATGTGCCGAAAACGCGGCGCTACTTGCCTTTTCCGCCGCCCAAACATTTTCGCGACCTGCCCCATTTCAAAATGTTTGTCAAACATTTTGTCAACCGAGCGACTTTTGCCCCATTTCGAAATCTTTAGAATATTTTGCCGAAGATTTTCTCCCATAAAAAGTGAAACAAAATCTTTATCCGCAAATGTTTGAAAATTTAGACATTTTTTCAAAGATTTGGTGACCATAAACATGGGCCTAAGGAAAGAAAAGTAGTCTACGTGGCGATCTTCCTTCCTTGTGGATGGACACGAAACGGAAATCGAAAAGCGGGAAACGGGATGCAATTGGGAGGGAGGCTAGTCCTGCCCTTCAGAGGCAGAGTAGATCTGGTTGGTAGAAGCGGCTGAGGATTGGCGCGCATGCCAACCGAAACCGAAAGAAATCGAGTCTACTTGGCAGGTCTAGGGGGAGCGCTGTAAATACAGGCTTAAACAGGCGTGTTATCCACACTCTCACACGACTCTTTCTTTTCCGTCGGATTTGTCCTGTAATTCGCCGTCGGCACAAAGGACAAATTTCCTCGGATTTTCCGTTCATTTGTCCGCAAATTTGCTGCTGGGGTGCGCTGCAAATACAGGCTGAAATAGGTGGCGTATTACCCACACTCTCCTAGGACTCTTTCTTGTGTGTCCTTACTTCCGAGTGTGCATCCTGTTGTTGCGTGCGTAGTTACTTCTCCTTGCCTATCTGTTGAAACATGCCTACTCTGTTGCAACAGCGAGTGCGGTCTACACCGCCTGTTTTGTTTCGAAGGGCCTATCGTGACGTGATAGAACCGACTCCGGTTTCGTAGACATGACGTCACAGAGAACCGGTAGAACCGTGTCTTGCGCGCTCGTTGCCGCGNACTCTTTCTTGTGTGTCCTTACTTCCGAGTGTGCATCCTGTTGTTGCGTGCGTAGTTACTTCTCCTTGCCTATCTGTTGAAACATGCCTACTCTGTTGCAACAGCGAGTGCGGTCTACACCGCCTGTTTTGTTTCGAAGGGCCTATCGTGACGTGATAGAACCGACTCCGGTTTCGTAGACATGACGTCACAGAGAACCGGTAGAACCGTGTCTTGCGCGCTCGTTGCCGCGACGCCACGGCCGCCCCCAGCGCGCACAGGCACGCGGGTAGGGCGCTCGCAACGCAGGGCTACCGGTAGGCGCAACTCTCGCGGCGAGGCCTACTCTGTTGCAACATGCCTACTCTGTTGCAACAGCGAGTGCGGTCTACACCGCCTGTTTTGTTTCGAAGGGCCTATCGTGACGTGATAGAACCGACTCCGGTTTCGTAGACGTGACGTCACAGAGAACCGGTAGAACCGTGTCTTGCGCGCTCGTTGCCGCGACGCCACGGCCGCCCCCAGCGCGCACAGGCACGCGGGTAGGGCGCTCGCAACGCAGGGCTACCGGTGGGCGCAACTCTCGCGTCGAGGCGACGTCTAGGAGTCACGAAATCACGCTCCAAGCGCCGAGAGGGAAGAACCTTCAGTAAAGCGCTGAGAGCGAAGAACCTTCTATGTAAATGTAGTCTATATACTGTTTATATGCATTGCATAGACAACGCACGGTAGGTACTTCCGAAGTCGGCATCATTTATTACTTTTCTTTTCTTGTGTACAACACGGAGCGTCGTGCAACGCGATAAATTTTCTGTTCTCTCTAGCGCATGCAGCGTTTCGTTTCCCTGCCCAGTCGTACTGAACACTCTGAGTTTAAACGTGCGGAATTCGGCAAAACCCAACCTTCACAACAACAACAACGAGCACGATTTTCCCGCATCGCAGGCCAAATTGAATCTCTCGTTGTTGGGCTCACGGGGCAACAATTCCTCTGCTGCCTGCCTGAGAGCCTTCCGTGAGGTTCCGGGCGTGCTGGCAAGATTCATTTCCTTCTGTACCGCTGTAAGTCATCGATCGCTCAGCAGAGAAATCATAAAAAGACGTCGGAGCAGCCGATGGCGGTACGCGCACGATTCAGTGGCACTCCGCCCTGGTCACAAGGGGGGCCTTTCGTCACGTGTCACTGCTGCATCGGGGCGTTACTTATCTCCAAGTACAATACTTCACCGCACAGGTTGCCTGTCAAGGCGAGCTACATGACGTCTTCCTCCGAAGGAAAAAAAGGAGTGTGATCGATTTAGCCTCTACGGTTATCAACAATCCGAATGACATCACGCGTGACGTATGTATGTATATGCCTATCGCAAAAGGAAGGCACATCAAAACCCGCGGGCAGGAAGAAGCTCAACCACTCAAAAGCAGTTGAGACAGGCGCAACCAATTCACGCCGCCTCGACTCAGAACCCAGAATCTCGTTGGTGTCGACTTCGCCAGCAATGTTTTACCCAACAACACGGCGAGCGTACCGTTCCTTCCTCCGGTAGTAAGAAGTGAGGGGAAGGGAAAAAAAAACAGCTAAAAAAAACACCGATCCCCCCTGAGAACGTTTTGCTTCGGCCTTCGGCATGCTTCTGGCACCCAGCAGTCAGTACATGGGTTCAGCCAAAAAGTCCACATAATCATCCAACAATCACACGCAACATCTTACATACGCACAAACACACCGGCTGTTATGTTGAACTTTAGTGCGGGAGGACTATTTAGACGTGCTTGTCTCGCCAACACTGACGGCTTCTCACTCTGAGCCTGATGGATGGTACCAGATAGATAGATAACCAGCAAGAGACAACCAGAGCGCAGAGGTCCAGCGCTTTGGAAAATTCCGGCGCCAACCCATCCACCCAGGCTCCGCCGTAGAAGCTGTGGTTCCCAGGGAAGTTGAATTGAACCCTTTCGACCTAGGCTACTACTATACAATAATATCGAGGCGCTTCATCCCCGGGCTCCCCCCCGGGTCATTGCAGGGGAAGCAGACGGCACACTCGAGATCAACGAAGCCAGCTGCCACATAGGTAGCTTCAGCTTTGGTACCCCGCTCTCACCCACATCCACTCCCTCCCTGCTCTTGTCTCAATATGCAATCCACGCACGCGGAACAGCTGTGGAGGAGAAAAATCTATCTACTTTTGGTGTCCAGTCGGTATTTGAGTACGGAGTTTCTTAGTCGCTGTTTTTGGCAACCAAAAAAGCACAGCTTGCTGCTCAGGATATACGCAACATCAACCAGGGACTGGGCTGGAGAGCCTCCTACCGGGATGCGGACGGCTCCCGTGCTGACGCCCGCCGTAGGTGTGGGGGCGAAGAATGAAACTGCTGTGGTTGTTTCTCGAACGCGGGTAGACTTGGGTTTGCATGTACTTACTTCACAAAAGCGCTCGTTCGAACAAAAGAAGTCTACTTTCTTCACGAGCAACAGCAGGAAGTCTGCAACCTGTGTTATTCTCTCTTCCCGACAGAGAGCAGAGAAAAGACCAAGTTTCAACTTTCAAAGAGCTCGAGCATGCGCGTAGTGTCTCATCGACTAGGAGAGTAGGGAGGGCAAAACAGAAACTCAGTCAAACCGAGGACGAGCTCACATGGGGCTGCAGTGCTTCAGGAAGCACTCGAGGAAGCTGGACTCCTGAAGCCCACCGAGCCCGGTTGCGGAAGAGGACGAAAACGATGGACCCACTATTTCCGAGTAATGTTTCTCCGTCACTGGAAGGTGCTGCTGCTGCTGCTGCTGCTGCTGCTGCTGCTGCTGCTGCTTCCGCTTCTTGGGGGATGGTGTTGGTGTCTTCTTATCGACGCCCTCGGCTGATGAAGGCGGTAATACCCGCAGGCGGCCCTGCTGCTGCTGCTGCTGCTGCTGCTGCTGCTGCTGCTGCCGCTGCTGCTGATGATGATGTGTCGGCCTGCTGCTGCTGCTGGTGGTGCTGTCGCCGTTGTCACCGGCTCTTCGTACGGCACCGGCATNATGATGATGTGTCGGCCTGCTGCTGCTGCTGGTGGTGCTGTCGCCGTTGTCACCGGCTCTTCGTACGGCACCGGCATTGATGGGGGAAGCAAGAGCGGGCGGCCGCCCTAGCTTCCTCTTCGCTGAGTATGAACATGAATGGGACCCACGCCTGCAACGAAGGCAGGGCTGTCCACCAGGACAACGACGCTTCTTCACCCAGCACCGATCACAAGAGCTGCGGAGCTCGGCCCTGTTGTTCCCCTGGTTGACGGCGTATACCCCTTCGTCCTCCTTCCCTTGGCATGGTGGTGCAGCGTCGTCAACTACCAAGGTCGGGCACTTCTTTTTGGACATTGGCATAGGCGTGTGCAAGACGCAGGCAGTCCGAGAAGATAGGTGTGCTTCGGCCGCGACAACCAAGCGCCAGGCAAAACGCTGTAGAGTTTGCTTCAATTAATAAAAATATGCTCAAAATTACAAGTTATACAACATCCTGTGTACCACAAAAGCTCGTAATGGTGCCTGTTCTTCTTGTCTTTTCGAGCTGCGAACCCCCTTCCTGTGGCCCGCACACGTCGACGGTGATCCAAATACCGGTCGCCCCGGTGGTCTAGTGGTTAACCTCGCATCCTGCGAAGGGCTAGGTCATGGGTTCGAGTCCCGGCAGAGTGAGCTTTTTTCTCACTAAAATGAAAGCGACGCGCTGCAAAGCTCGGTGTTAGTAAACCATAATCGACTTCGCAAGTCGCGAGGGAAGGGATTGCTATGTGTACCCTTCTCGCGATAAAATACCTCAGGCAGGAACCCCAGGAGGGGGTCCACCCCCCCCCTCCTCTGTGACCCCGGGTGGGTCGTCTAGCTAGAAGAAGTGGAGGATAGGGGCCAGAGGGGCAGACAACAGAATCCAATGATGGGGAGAAAAAAAATATATATAGACTATAGAGATATATATATACAACAAGCATTTTTTTAGTCTGGTCTGTATGTATCATCTGCGTAGTAACTTTTCCCGCACGATCTGTCTGCCTGGTCTGCCCGTAGGGGCGGATAGGTCCGCCGCTGCTGTAGATTGATCGATAGAAGATAGATCGAACAACAGGCGACCTGCATCCTAAACCTAGCTCAACCAGCAAGAAATAAATGAGGCGCAAGAAATCGCAACACAGCAGCAGCCTTGCTCGCGTGAAGAACCTAGCCTTGCTACGTGCAACATCGGTTAGCCCTAAAGAGTTACTATCAAAGTGTAACCAAGGCTCACGACATCGTACAGCTCGTATCATCCGAGTAGCAGTAGGTAAGGATATGAATATAAGACTGCTGCTGACATCCTCACTCAGTACATATCACCAACTCTGCGAAGGGATCTTTTAATGCTAAATTGGTTCAGATTGACAGCCGTTGATTGGACAGCAGTCTACACACACGTCATCCGAACCAGCTTTTTTACAAGCGAGCGGCGGCGAGGTGTGCTCGTGCTCGAAGCTG